AGACTCGTACTGACTTCAAGCTGACCTGCACTTTGCTTGAGTCTGCTAGACGTGCTTGCAGGAATCCTTTAATTTCCAAAGTTTTGTGTTCTCGCTCAACTTACAAGGGCAAACGAGTTTTCTTAATGAATGCCAGCCGGGAGTGATGTGTCTTGGGCCCCGTGCAGGTCTCGGCGACTGTGAAAGCATTCATTAGCTGGATGGCCCAGCGGGTCATAGTGCAGATATGGCTGCTGAGGTGGTGAAGTTCATCGCCCAACAAATCCCCTGGTGCCTCCCTGATACAAGGTACTGCAATACTTTGTCAACGCTCCGCACTACCTTTTTCTTTACTTTATTCTGGGAACAGGGACAACGTTTCGGGGTATACTCCAAAGCTCTAGAATTGTGGCAAAGGACCGTTTGACAACGAGGAAAGCCAGACTCCAATACGAAACAGTAATTTGGTGGGAGAGGGTGCATTTGCATGCCAAAGACAGAAGACATGGCAAACGGGCAGATTCTTGGCTGAACCGTTGGCCATCACAGACATTAGGCCAAACAAATGGTGTTTTCCTCCTTTACCAGCAGTCGTAGCACCGCTTGTTGGATCCTGCTTGCGGTCCAACCGTCAGCGAAACCAGGCGCGGATCTGCCCACTGAACTGATCGAGCTGTTGGAAAAGATTGTCCTCCATAACTCAGACTTCAGCGCTGGGCTTAGTCAGTTATTGATTTCGTCCAACAAGGCAAGCAAGCATGGCCTAACACGGCAAGCGTCGCTGTAAGCGTTCCTTTCACTCGTGAGCGCTCTCATGTTGAAGACTTTTTCGATTCCAACGAGTCTCTGCGGGGCTCCTTTGATGCTTTCAACTATTTTCCATGTCGTCACTTGATGACGCCATTACGCTGTCCATTCTTCGAGAAAAGATAGAGGTGTCCATCGTCATTACGCTTGTTTTGCACGCGTGCAACCACGTGCACCTCGCGTGGGTTGTCACGTGTACCTCGCCTTTTCCGCAAAGGTAAGAACCGGAACTTGCAGAACTTGTTGGTTCTCACGGCTATCAAAGCCGACAAGCTGCTTGGCCGATAGATACTGCGGAACGCGCTTTTGGGTTGAAAAGAAAAAGAGCTAGCTGAGAGAGCCGAATTTCGGTGAGGGCCCGGGTCATGGACTACATCAACCGTTTGGACAACTACGATGGCCCAGAGATTGCAAAGATTGCATGGAACTCAGAGGGCTGGTATGCCGCGATCAGGGTGACAGTCTGATGTTTTTGATGAGAAGGAAGAGATTATCCAGAAATTAGGCAGTTTGGGGTCTGCACCTGTCCAGGCATTGGGCGATCCGTATGGCCTGTACGAGGAGGCATGGTCTGACTTGATGCCGAGCTTCTTTAGAAACACATGACGCCTTCTTTTCGATCTTATCCGGCAGAATTGACGCCTTATCAGGCCTTCCTCATCTACAAGAAGTGTGGGCAAAATGCCGAAGCCATGGAGTGCTCACCTCAACTGCAAGTCTGAATGGCAAGTCCATCAGCTACTGTACCTAATTGGCCTTTTCAAAACGTGACTCACATCCCTAGAGACTTGGAGACCCGTGACGTGGCTCACACGCTGTCTCAAAAGGTGAACGTGTCCTCTATCAGAATGTGTCGAAGCAAAAACACCCTGAAGGTCTTGTTGAATTCTTCCATAGGACACGTCAACACGCCAGCTCCAGAACCGCTAGCTGTGGCGAACCTTCTCAGCCCGTTCTCCTTCTCAGTGTGCTGCTGGAGAACATCAACTCCTTGGAGAGGGCGCAAGAGTTTGCCGCACGAATCAATGACAAGACTGCAGGGAGCTGAGTTGGATGACACGTCACCAGTCATGCCAGGCGCTTAAGACCGATACCACCATCTGTAAAAGCAGTGGTGAGAAGAATGTAGTCCATCAAATCAGAACAGACACTTTGAATGCGAGGATGTCCTAGGGTTTGACCGCTTGTGCTAAGATTGCGTGTCCCATTGCCAGTCTCAGAATATGTGTTGAATGCCCCATTTCTGAGGCAATATTTGTTCCAATCGTGCAGCTTTGCCTTGTGCGGATACAACATGTATGAACATGTCTTGATCCCACACCGGCACGGCTCAAGATTTCCACACGGTCCCCACAGGTTTGGTACAAATTGGGCAAAGCACAGCTGGAAACTGGCGGTGTCTGATGCTTAGCACCTGCACAAACTCGAAGATCAGTGAGGTAGCCAGCCAGCGTCAGAAGCGTAGCTTAGCGTGGCTTAGCGTAGCTGACTGCAAAGGTGCCAGAGTCTGTGGACTCCTACTTGAAGTCAGAAGATGCGACTGACTACCTGGAAGTGATCCAGGCGACAAGGGACTGCCTCGACCGGACACATGAGACTCGATACGGTGCCAGTCGCGCCAGTCGTGTTTGGTTGGGGACGGAGAATCCGTATGAAGTACGACACCAAATCGATTTTGAATCAACCCAAGGCAGTGAGTGCATTTGGTGAGTCTTTCTTACAATACTGCAGCCAAGATGTCCAACAACGTATTGTTTCACAGAAGCTCGTGCATTTGCAAACTGTAGAATAGCAAAGAGTGTGAACGGATCGTTGTACGGAAGCCACATGAGGAGATCATAATATAGCCTTGCTTTGATGAACTTCGTCAAGACATGTTTTTCGCAAACAGTGGCCATGCTCTCCAGGACTAATTGACGCTGATGTACTTTTATACAATTTCTTGGGTCATAGATTCAGAGAACTTGACTTGGAGATAAAGCCTTTGGATATTGCAACTACAAAGTCTTGCGAGTCTTTGCCAATTTCACCTCCGTTTCATGCGGGCCCTGAAATTTGGATTCCGGACAGCCATTGCTCATGACGTTCTTCGATTGACACCCTCTTCTTGGGTCAGGCTGCAGAGCGTGAGGAGAACTACGAGGAGTTTGGAGCTGAGAGCGATTCAACAGAGGAAACTCGCAGCATCTAATCGCTAGTGTAGGGCAGCATCTAATCGCTAGTGTAGGGACTTGGCACCAGGAACAATGACACGCAGAGGTAGAGATGGTTTTGATGCCTTCGAATATGCCGTTGAATCCCAGGCTGGTGAGATATCTGATGATGGCCCGGACAAAGGTGAAGGATTCACAGATTGATGGCCTTGTCGCCCAAGCTGCTGCATGTTCTTTCCAAGGTTGGGTGTGATGCTTTTTCCCAAGGCTTTCCCGCGATCCATATTTCGCAGGATTTCTTGGTGTCAGCAAAGGGGTTCCTGCCTTTGTTTCGTTTTCAGTTGGAAGGGCAAGGTGGATTTAGGGTTGATCTCAGCGCGCCAGGGGAACAGGTGCATTCATTACATAGCTCTTTGAATGAACACGACAACATTGAGACATGTGCCGGTGTGCTTTCGCCGAGGTGAGCTGGTGTACGCGTATGCGAAGACGGAGCGCCTGGTGAGCGACTAAGAGAGATGGTGTTTCCGGAACCATACCCTGACCTTGGAGCGGCCATCTGCAATCATCAAACCTTGGAGCGCCCTGTTTGTGGCGAAAGTCAAACGAGCCCCTGATGTCAGGGAGTTTCAAGCCTGGCGATCCCCTACCAAGGTAAGTTGCTTTCCATCCTGTTCTGCTTTGTTCTACATAGATCCTACAATCTTTGCTGTCGAGTCGTATCCCCTCATTCTTATGGTCGATTTCCTGCATATACCCACCCGTCACCCGTCCCTCACGTCCCGATCTTTTGTCCTCCCAGGGCGAAATGGAAGAGTTTATCAGTGGCACCAACACGGCTCCTCGACTGCATGCGTCGGAGGATGATGTCCGGTTGTTCAAAGACCGAGGATGCTAGAGGCTGGATCCTTTCAGAATTCAGCGGAGGCAATCGTGCCAACATGGTTTTATGGAGAAGGTTTCGTTGAAGAGCAGGACTTGTGAAAATAACGGTGTGGATCCTTGAACCACGACCAGAAAAGACCTTAGCCTTAGTCATCTTAGTCGGTAGTTACTTCTTTGCGGGCCTCGGCTTCGAGGCCAACATCCAAGCAGTGGGCGATCGTCTTTATGATGAGAAATTCTACAAGGTGAGCTTGGGATCTGGCTGTGTTCATGCATATCCAGGCCGTCTCGAAGTTTCATACATGCCCAGAGAACCTGGGACTGATCAATTTCAGCTGGGCTGGGTCTTGCCGCTCTGGAGCCAGCAGAGGCAGCCAAGATCCTGTATGCCTCCATCCCGAACAATGGGCGCTTGGCCTCATGTGTGGCACTTAAGCCAAACTTCGGCCGGGCAAGAAAACTGTTTCAAAGCAGCTGCAAGTAGGAGGAACGACATGCTTGAGGCCATGTGCAGCTGGGAGAGTACACACAGGTGCACCTTTTTGTCGGGCTGGGGTGAGGTTTGGACAAACGTGTACAGGCATAATGTTGTGCAATGGAGCAAAGGCTTTGTGAGTTGGACATGCATGGATGCCGTGGCTTAAAGCCTTATGATAGCCCATGTGATGCGCAGGCTTTTGGGAGTTGCACTTAGGACGTAGGCCCCAAATTGATGTGGACGCTGGGATCAAACATTTTGCATGTTTCGAGTGTGACGATTGTTGCAAAGCAAATCCAACATCAAGCAGTTCGTGGGATGATCACACAAATGTTCAAATTGTCACTTATTCATTTGGCTACCTGTTAATTTCTTGCCACCTTGGGTCCGCAAACCCCAGCAACTGTATAAGGCAGCCTTTCCAGCAACTGTTTGAATGCACGGGCGTAGTTGTAGTAGTGTATAGAGTGACCGTGCGGGTACGAAGTCCAGACACCAGTCTTATCCTGCTTGCCGCAGAGCATTTTTTTTGTCCTTTAAAAGTTAGCAGCTTGAGTGACCACACACACAGAAAAGCTGCAAGAAGGGAATCAGAATATTGACAGCGGCCGTGAGGGGCCTCATCTCTCTCCATACCTCTTTGTTTCCTTTTCCTTTCTTCTTTCTCTGCAAGTAAATAGATGCAAGGAACGAAGGAGCACGAGTCTACATCAACAAATAGACCTGGAATACTTCTTTGCTTTGATCCATCCGCCCAAACCCTGTTCATTTGCCCTCCTGCAGTCCATGCACACACGATCAATTTTTGAGACGGCCAGGCTGTTGAGGCAGCGAAGAAGGCAAACAATCCGAAGACTTGGCAGGAGGCAGCGGCGTTGAAGGATGGTCTCCACCAGGGTTGGGCGTTTTCGATTTGGCGTCTCGATGGTCTGGGGTGCTTTTGAACGGAAGTATGTTGATCCATGGATTGTGAGTACTTCGGCAAGAGATGTTTAAGAGGCCTTGGTCCTGTGGAGTGCTAGAGGCTCTGGAAAGGAATCCGACGTGAATCATGGTGCTACGCCAGGTGAACCTGGCCTGTGTCAAGGCGGAGCAGTTCCGCTGTGAGAGCCTGAGAATATTTGGAAGCCCAAGTCTTCATCTACAGCAGTTGGCAACAACAGCCCATGAAGTTGCTAGTTCTGCCAATGCATGGTTCTCTTTGACATTTGACCGAAAGCACCTGACACCTTTTCTGCCTTGGCAGCTTCCGCTGGCTGGAGCAAATCCGAGGTGCAGAGATTGCGGGTCAGCACATCATCGTAGTGAGCTCAGCATGGTGACCACTTCTTAGTGATGGAGCATGTGTTACACTCTGGTGACAGTTCTGCAACACTCTCAGTTTTTACATGGTGACCACTTCTTGATCTCAGAATCTCGAGGTTTGAGAACTAAAAGCAATTTGTCCATCGCAGTCCATTCGAAGCAGTTCTCAGAATCCAGATCGAAGCAATCCGTGCTCGCCTCCGCTGCCAAAAGCCGGCTTGCGGACGGACCTCCCGCGGTGCAGGTTCACCCGGATCACCTGGAGGAGGTCATCTCGCAGTACGAGAAGCTTGGGGTGCTCAGTTTCCGGGGGATTCTTGTGGATGCTTCGGCGGGGAGGAGGTGAGTCTACGGCAGGAAACCGTCAAAAGCTGTGTTTTGCGTCAGGGGCGGGTGGTCCCATATTTTCAGACCTGCGTCGCGCGCCCAACGTCCAAGGCAGGGATGCTTCGATGCCAAGCGCTCGGTCGCCACGCTTCACCAGCTCAGTGCAGTGGTCCTTTTTTTGGGGATGCCCGTTGCTCCCAGTAGCATCCTTGCTCCTAGTAGTAAGGCCAGGAGCCCCTAGTAGCGTCCTTGCTCCTAGTAGCGATGCCCTTTGCTCCTAGGGTTATAAAAAACTTTCATTGGAAAGATCATGTTTTCTAAATTTTAAAAACAAGTCAAACAAGTCAATCCCAAAAGTCAAAGTAAAAAAAGAGGCAAATCGGAAAATTTCAGAAAGTCAAAAAAAGTCAATTTGCCCAGATCCGTCTTCTTTTTTCGACTTTTTTTGTTTTTGTTTTTGAGTGGTTTACTTTTTTTTTTTGGCTTTTCTTGACTCCAGTAATCCGCCAAGGCAAGGAGACACACTTTTGACTTTTGTTAAAATATATTTATTTTTTAAAATACGGTTTTTTTTTGTCTTTTTTCGACTTTTTTGTCATTTTTTCGACTGGTTTTGACTTTTTTTTTGACTCTGACTTTTCCAGTTGACTTTTTTTGACATTTTTTTTGACTTTTTTTAAATCACGGATTCTGGCCTTACCATATGAAAGTTTTTTATAATCCTAGGGACAAACGCAAAAGACATCCCCATGGAATTGTCGCGTCTAGTGTACAGGGGGTTTGTTGGTGCTTGGTCGTCTGGATTTTTGAAGGAAAAGAGCTTTGGATGTGCAGAGCAGCAGAAGTTTCTCAAGGGTGCCGTGTTTTGCAGCCATGAAGCGTAGATGAGCCCTATGCCTATGCCCTATGCATGCGTGATCGATCATAATATATCTCCAGATGGGTTGATCAACCCAATTCCAAAGATGCTCGGGGCCTTCGTCATTTTAGGCAAGGCCATCGTTTCCAAGGCCTTAATGCAGCTGCTGGAGTCCGGCCTGGGCAACGAGCGTGCCAGAGCTTGATGGGGAGATGAGATGTGGAATTGGCCCGGGTTTCAAGACACAGAACTCTATGATTTTGATCAACAATAGAAACACAAGACTTGATTGCTAGATTTGTTTGCCTCACAATGTCTTGCGGTCGCTTCTTTCAAACAGGTGACCATTCAGCATTCACATCAGTACTTTTTGCTACACTGTATATAGTCCAAATCTAAACAAAGTGTGAAACTCCTTCCACGGCCGCGGCTTTGACGGATCAAGCTGATTGCCCATCCACATGGCACATGCAGGGGGGAAGCAGACCAGCCTCCACATGCACTCCGCTCCTCGCCTCCCTCAGATCTTAGGAGCAGTTAGGCGCGGCAAGAGTTGTGGGTCAATGATACGGACCATCGCAAGCTCTGCCAGAGAGAATTCTTGGCCATGGACTCTGACAGCATGAAAACTGTCGCTGACATGTCTTCAGCAGAAGCCACGCCTGCTTTGTGTGACCTGGCAGGTATGTTGACTGGTTCGGATTTTTTGACTGGAGAGAATCCCACAGCCATCATTGCTATCGTTGAAGGGTGTCATGCCAGCTGGTGTGTCTTTTGGCTGATCACGGCTATCCCTGTTTGCTGGTGTTGAGGCCTGAAAAGTGAGCTCAGGCTCGACACTGCTGTGGTGTGTGTGTGAGAGTGTGTGCGCGTGTGTGGGATGTATCATTAGCAGGATTCCCCAGCAAACTCGATGTGCTTGTTTTTGCTTTTCGATGTAGCAAGCTACATAGCCAAGCTGTTGAGGGAAACTTGGAACCCGCCCAAACCTTCGCTTTCACCGCTGCATAGACACTTCTCACTGTCACATTCGCCAACAACTGGAAGTGTTTGGGCTTCCTTGCGGCCAACCAAAAATCCGGATGCTTCGCCATGAAACCGCCAGGGAGGAATGCAGCTCCCTGAAGCGATGTCTCTCGGGGGAGGCCAGATCGGAATGTCAGTCGATTTCTTTTGCTTCCGAATAGGGCTCAAAACGGCTTGGGATGCTGGCCATCTTAAGCCAGAGGAACAGTTACCCAGCAGCTTACTTACTATGGATGTTCCAGTAGTTACTTGGGGATTTTCTTTCTTTCTGAGGCAAGCCCTCTATCTATATAGTTAATGGATGGCACAGCGCCATGATCCAGCGAGGTGAAGCTTCTTGGAGTCCGTCCTCGGAACGAGACGGAGTCGACCGTCTGCGAGCTTGAACTGGACGAGGCACGACCGGTGACAGCTGAAGGATTTGGCTGGGGTTGGCTGGGATGAAAGAAACACCAGACATACTACTCAATTGATCAGGTCCGGAACGGCATCACCCCAGTTTTTTTGATTCGAGCAGATATGCACATCCGATGGATCAGCTCAGGATAGCACCACCGATGGGAATGAGGACTGTGAAGACTTGACTGAAGTCATGAGTGCCTCCAGCCCCACCTCCGAGAAAGGCGCGGTGGGGAAGCCTGTGACCGATCCATAAGGCAGACTGAAGGATGTAAGTCGTAAGTCCATTCTTCCGTTTGGCTGCAGGTGAGGCGCAGGTGAGGGTTTGTTACACTTGGTTACACTTGTTCCTTTTGATCGCCATTTCTGTAGTTCTCATGCCCTGAAAGTCGAGAGTCCTCCTTGACTTGCATGACATGCTGACTGCCAGGAGAATTGGCCTGCAAGCTGTCGTCACGGATAGAGGTGCCAGCATGACTGCGTTTGTCATGAATTAAAGGCCAAGCGTTCAAAGTCTTTGAATTACAGCTGTCGAAAACGGTTGTGCTCGGGTTGGCCAATCAATCTTTTGAAGGTTCATGAAAACAGTGGCCATCAGAAAATGCTAATGCTGTGTCACTGGGCCGCAAGCCAGCAGTCGCCTTCTTCTTGTGCAGACCCTGTAGCTGGGCAACTGTTGGAAGTTGTTTCTCCTGCGATGCACCGCACTCCCCAGAATTTAAGTAAAACGTATTTGCATTGTTTTGTCTTTTTCGAGAAGCATCACGTATGGCCAGCATTTGCTGGGCCCATTGCCCTTCAATGTTTTGAAGCACCCTAGGCCAGTGGTCTTTGTGGAGGGATCCGAACCTAATCCGCACGTTTCCCCCGCTGTTTATGATGTCACAAAAAGACTTGGACACGCCCAAGATCCTTCCTCTTCCGAAGTTGCCCTAGCTAGCCAAAGTCGGCAGAAGTGCAACGAAGAACCCAGTCTTCAGTATCACCGCGTAAATCTCACCCATTTCCACAAAGTTGTCATATTACTATAGAGAGAGTTGTCATATATATATAGTGTGTCTCAGCGATGTTTTTTTTCATTTTAGAACCTGGAAATGGCCCAAATTGAGACAAGTGCCGACAAGTCTAGAAGTCAACAGAGGCTGAACATCGGGGCTTCAATCCATTGTCGGCTTTTGATCCAACCACAAACCTGATCAGATTCAATATAGCTCCAACACAAGCTTCTGAGGCCTCCAACATGATTGGCTTGATTTGCATATTTGAGACCCAAATCAAAATTCAGACCCTCGTTTCGTTGTGCTTGACAAGTTCGTTGTCCACCTCTCTGCCCAATCTCTAAGTGACGTCTCTAAGACTTGAGTGATGGGATTTCTGCTCAATCCAGATCATGCTCAATCCATGTTTCTTCATCCAGAAGCAGTGTGGCCAGATTGGATCTTCTTTGTAGCTATTCACAGCTTGATCAGGAGTTCCACACCCACAGAGATGATATGTGAAAGCTTCCGAAGGATTGGATTTCTGTATTGTCACGACAGACACTGTATTGTCACGACAGACACCACATTTTATTGTGTGTTTCTACCGCATGCATTTTGCTGCCAGTTGTGACACAGAAACGGTTTTCAGCTGAGGTGTTCTGATTTTCCTGTGCATGGCATGTGGTTGTTCGTGCCAAGCTCCTTATGAAGTCTTGAATACCAAGGACAGCTTCTGAAGTTTCTGATTCTACATTCTACATTGCCTGAAATCATCATGGAAGTGTAGTGAGTTTTCCGAATACCAAACAGGTGGGACCGCTCCCATGTAGGAGGTGTTCGGGGTGGACTCCTGCTGAATCCACCGACTCTGAGCCTCGCAAGTCCAGGTTGATTGCACCCTTTCGCCTGTAACCCCGCGGAACTTGCTAGTCTAGTCCTAGTTGTTTTGCATTCAGGATCCGGTTGGCGGTTCTAGGCAAGCTTCGGCATGGCTTCGGACTAATTCTGCCAGTCTATAAGTTTTGCCCTGTGAGCTCGCTTGTTGAACATGTTATCTGGGATCTATGCCGATGTCGGTGTAATGTGTCTTCTCAACAGACGTGCTTGGTCGTAGGACAAGGGATGCGCGCACCTGATTAGCATCTGGGCGGCAAGAAGTCTTGGAAAACTTGGAGGGATTGATTGAAGACTATTTCTTCTGCGTACTCACCTTCAAACAGATTCTATAAAGATGATTTTGCGACTATAGGTGCGCATTAAATTGCAATCCTCACATGGCCTTAGGGTCGAAGTGTAACTGCCTGGGAGGCTTGGTAGAGCACCTCTTTGGCATTCTGGTCACACTGCCTGCGGCACTGAAGCCACGACAGCTGCCACTGTCGTGGCATATGTGTCTGGCTGCAGGCGGGTGGAATGCAGTAGTTTGAGAAGGCTGAAGGTCTACCTTTTTCTCCCCCGTGTGGAGATTGCAAAAAACTAGCTCATTGGTGCTTTGGGGAGCCCTTTTGAGATTTTTAGGTTCATGTTTGTAAAGCCCTGCTAGAGATTCTTCATCAACCTGTGGGTAATCAAGATCTGAAGGCCGAGAAAGCGGTATCCCCTTTTTTGGCCAACACATTGTAGATGCAGAACCCGACACTGGCAATGCTGTTGAAGAGGCTCTATTGGCTATACACAGCTTCAGAACCTTGCTCTTAGCACACAGCTTCCAACTCTGGTCTTGATCACCATCAAGTGTCTCAGCTGCACCTCCTCCGAATCCTCCTGTCTCCATGGGCACAGATGTGCGTACATCCGGAAAGCAAACTCACGGATGTTCGAACGAAAGAACCAAGGAATGGCAATCTGCTGGCAAATGTCTTTCTGGGAAAGCTTGTGCTACATCGAAACTACGGAATGCAACAGCTGGCGGCAGTGGCCCTCCTGTCATTTGGAACCTCAACAGCAGTGGTCGGCTCTTCGGTTCCAACCGATGTTTGGCACGACGAAACACCGGCGAACGCACCGAGCTGCGCAGGGCTGATCCTGGTCTCTGTGGCAGGAACCTCGGGTGACCAGAGCGGTCTGGAGACTGGAAGAAGCTGCCTCTTAGGCGAGGTGGAGATTGAACTTTCAGCACCTGGAAGCTCGAAAGTGACCATTTTGGAAGACTACAAATGAGGATCCAATGAAAGTGACCCCGGACAATTTGAGGTTTCACTTGGCTGGAACACCGCACCCGGCGGTGCCTTTAGGGCACTTGGCGGGTCAGGTGGGTCACCTCTGCTGGGGCCGGGTTTGGACAATTCGGTCCCTGCGAGGCATTCTCTTGCTGGCTGGCGCCCTGCTGAGCCGGGCAGGAGGTGGACTGACACAGGCCGGCTCTTGAGAGCGGTTCGCTCCGAGCTTGTACCAAAAGTATTGGAGCCATGCCGTAGTGTTGATTGTGAGCATCCTGCATTTCTTTCCTGTGAAGGTGGATTGTGGGGTGGTTGCGGAGAACAAATTGGGAGATATGCGAATTGCGCAGGAACAACTGTCCAAGAGCCGCACAATACCAGTGGAGGACAGAGTGTTGCATGACGGACTTGGAAAACACGTTGTAGTCAGATGTAGTCAGTTTTGTTCTACAGGCCAAAGATTAAAAGCTGTTCAGAAGTGCACAACGTATCAGTTTTTTTGTGGTTCAATTTGATGAGGTGTCAAGTTAACTAAACCCACCCACGCAGGAGCTCCTCTTCTTTCGCAGTCTGTTGGGACTGCCAGCGGTGCTCCTTCAGTACCAATCCATTCAGATACACGGCAGTCGATGGTTCGCAGGTGGGCAGTGGATGACCGTCGGAGGTATGAGGTTCTGGGCTGGTCAGACCCTGGACCTCAGCCTCTGATTAGAAAACACAAAAGCACCCCAAACCCAAGTTGAACACGCAAGATCACCCTCATCCTATCTAGAAGAAAGACCATTCTTATAGGCCATCATTCTTGATCAGTGACACTGAGAGTTCAACAAAGTCCCAGCAGGGTTGTGCAAACCTTTGTGACTGAGGGCCTACGAAGCCCTGTGTGTTTAACCGAGCCCAGCTCCTTTCATCGTCAAGGCTCGTTTCAGTTTTTCCCTTCTCTCCAGGTGAGGTGACCTTCGGATGGCCTGGCCCCTGGGCTCTCTTGATCTTGAACACGGTCTGGATCCCAATTTTGGGTGGCAGCACCGACGACGCCGATGGCGGGGGGTCACCATTTCGTCCATGTGATTCTCAGTGGCAAAGGGTCCAACAAACGGTCACAGCCTGTCACAGCCTTTGTGCTTGCCCGGTCCGTAGATCGCACGCCGAGCGAGTGTATCTTGGTATTCCCGCTCGCCCGGGTGACTTGTCGTTTTGAGGTGATGGACTACGTGACAAGAGTTTGCATCACTCTTTTGATTAAGCAAACCTCAGCGCTGACCTGAGAGTGCACGCCAAGACTGAAGATTGCCGGCGCAACAGTCTGAGGTGTACAGCTAGAGAGCCTTAAGAATACCAACCAAACTGCTACGAAGATCTGGATCATCAAGCTTGCAACTTTGTGCTCCCTTCCACATGGTTTTGAGGCGCTCACAGCAAACCTGGTCCTCACAGTACAGCGCTTTGTGGGGGACCTGGTCCTCATGTTTCTAAACATGGCACGAGTCCCAGCCAGACCGTGGGTTGTTGGGGGAAAATCGAGACCACCAACTGATTAGGCCGAGTAGGTCTCCTCATTGAATGCATGCAGTATTTTCAGGTGGTTAGCACTGAGCACGCCTTGTGTTCTTTGATTCCCAAATGACGGTAAGTTTGGAAAAAAGGACATTGTTGAAAGCTCACTGGTTCGGGGCCAAAGAATTGGTGTCACAAATCTTCCAACCGACGGTCTCGGCAAGGTGTCCTTCCTCATCTCCGCGGTGCTCTTGAGCAGGGAGCCACCCTCGGGCTCTTTGTGGTTGGGCGCTGTGGCAGTGCCCTTTGCGTTGTTTTGGATGTGGATCTCACGTCAAATCAGGGTGTCCCTTAATGAGTGAGTACTGGTCCGAGTAATGCACCTCTGTGTTTTGCTGTAGCTCTTGGTCTTGAAGAGCGCTCCTTTTCCAGAAGCTACTGTGACAGCTGGATGTAGTTTACATAGATCAGCTGGCTAGTGGCACAGGCTCGTGGCAGATTCAGACTGCACTAGAAGTTGGAGGCTACAACGGTTGGGCATGCAGGTACTGGCAGGGACACTGCTTTATGTCATTGCACCTGATGTCGAGATCTCACGCTCTCCGAAGGTAGGGCATTTTGTTCCAAGCATTTGGTAGCTGAGGCACAGGCAAGAAACCAAAACAAAGCAAAGTAGCTGGATTTGTCGACAGATGACAGACTATGCGGTTAAGAGGTAAAGGTAGTTCGACCCTTTAAGATCCTTTTAGACTTTAAGTACATGATTTGGTTCAGGCACCCACCACATTGCCAGCCAGATGTTGCAGTTTTAGAATTCAGGTTTTGGCATATTCTCCAGAGGCTTAACCTCGTCGTTTTTGGATAGGAGAAGTCTGCCTAAGACCCTCTGTGGGCAGCTTTGTCACTCAGAAGCCTCAGCTGTGTGGTGCTGTGACGCAACGAACTGAAAAACAGCAAATGGTTCTACTTGGCGGCTCCAGGGGAGCAGTGCCCTCTCAGCTGAGGTGAGCAGCTCCCTCGGCGGTTCCTGTTGCTCTCCGGCCTTTGGACGACCCATCCTTTTGACGACGACTCCGTGTACAGCACTAAAAAAGCTTTCCTACAGAGTGTACAGCTGAAGACATCCTGCGCCTTTGGAGAGCATGGTGGTCTTCATCCCAATACCAATGCCATAAAGGAAATGCGCTCCATAGACAAACACCTTCCAATGTGTGGGTAGGTCAATCCTTGCAGAGGTCGTGTCTACAAAGTACCCTAAAGTCTTTGCAACCCCTTTTGCGGCAATTATCATTGGACATTCTACTATCCATGGTAGTAACCACTTTTTATTGTCAGTTTTGTTTTAGTTCAAATGGGTATATACAATAGCTTCCACGGGCAGTTTGTGCTTCGTTCGCCTCTATGAAGTTTCCGGGAGGATGACACCAAGTGATCTTGGTACTGGTATTCCTCACCATGAGTTTTAACCGGTAACCACTCTTGAACAAGCACTTGTAAGAAGGGTGAAGCTAGTTAGAACTTCTGTAGATGCTCACCTCACGTCCTTAAAAGCCACAGAAAGCATGTGCAAGGTTTGAGACTAAGAAACCACAGAAGTAGTACTGTATGCAGGGGGGAATAAGACTGGAGTAAAGAAACAACAAGAATGAGCCCAGCTGCTTCTGGCTCGCTTGGAGCCGAAGCCAAAACCACCAAGACGGCTTCGGTGGCCATTGCCACCGACTGTCGACCAATTAGCAGATGAGACGAGCAACCTCCGTGGGTCTTGAGGGATGGGTGGCCGTGCGGCCCAACGAACCTCATGAAGATCTGTAAGATCTGCGCCCTTCGGCCCAGCCCTGTTTTCGCAAGATCAGGAGTTTGCAACCGTTTTCCCCATGCATTTGGAGCTTGGGATCCCAGCTCATTTGGGCCAAGCGTTGTTTTTTGGGCCAAGGAGCTACGCTTCACTTCGTGCAGAACCTGAAGAGGATCACGAATCGCAGCCAAAAAGGTCTGGGTACACATGCTGTGAACTGCCAGCAATGTGCAGTCAATCCTCTCCACATTTTTCAGCCCTCCTACCAGAAAAGCCCTCTCCTGAGAAAAGGCCGCATTTTTCAGCAAGCTGTTGCTTGTTGTTCCAAGAATGTTCCAACTCGACGAAAGAAGTGGACGCTGCTTCTGAGCACCACTCGACTCAACTTCGCCGCGCGATGTCCGCCATTTGTGGCACAAGATGAGTGGAATCCATTCGCGGTTTCCGATGCTTCAGAGATCCATTCCCAGTGCAGGTCACAAAGGATCGTCTGATGGTTGCGAGAATATCTTTGCTCCAAGTTGTCAGCCGGACTTTGCAGTTGCCGGAGCAGCAGTTGTCATTTCTGGGACCTTAGATATACTGTATCAGTCTTTGCAATCTCGTTGCTGGCAGTGAGAATAGACAGTGCTGACAACCTGTAAGCAGCCCCAGGGCTTGCATGAGAGGGATGGCAAGTTCAACTCCAATCACACCTGGCCTAGGCCATTTGGAGATTAGAAGACACTGAACTCTTTTGCGGCAAGAAACCGAACAGTGAACCTGCTTGCCGCCCTGGTTGGCCCCGAAGATTTTGCTGTGCCGCAGGGGCATTTGAACCAATTTTCCTTCCATGTTTGCGCTCTTGAGCAGTTTCACACAAGACCAAACATAATGATACCCAACTTACGGTAGGGCTTACGGGTGAACAGATCATCAACCTTCAGCACTCACAGGACGAATTGGAATCCTTGCAACCCTTTTGTGTACGCACCCAGAGCAGCTAAATGACAACTTGCCAGAGGAGCGCTCACATTGGTAGCTGGCGCCGTGCATCTTGCAGCACTGCTGCGATCAGAGATTCGGATGGCGCTGCCCTGATTCTTGGAGAAGGGTTTTGCTCATCAGGTCTCTGAGACATGTTGATATCGTGCAAGCGCGTGGATCGAATTCACTGTTTTTTGTGCCCACTTGCAGGGGTGAGCTGTGGATGAGTCTGGATAAGATATTGTGCAGCATGAGACAGATATCCAATCAATGGGTTCTGATCGAGCCACTTCACACCTACGTATGATGGCCATTCATGGCCCAGATGCCAGTGTCTGCTTAAAAACCAATTGTAAACTGCATCTGCCAGTCTGCGGTCACAGCTTTGCAGCTCCCCATGCGCTTGGTGTTGCTGCCAATTTAGAGTGTGGGTGGCGCCCATGTGAGCGCAGGCGAACATGCCCTGCCGCCTATGTACAGAAACCCAGCCTTTGCAACGGAGTTTCGTTGAGCTGGACTACACAAAAGAGTTCGTTGCAGCAGCGGTTTCTGGTGGATGAGGCTTCATTTGATTCAAGTTGGAACGGCAACGGCAGACCATCAACCAAGTAAGCAGAGAGAGAGAGAGAGAGAAGGAAGAACGAGAGAGGGGGGACTCAAACCTGCCATCCTTCCTTTTTTGAATCGCATTGGGCAAGAACGACACAAAAACTGCCAAAAAACAAGATACATTACATTACATGAATTCACATGTTTTGATTCCAGTTGTGTGACTGTCAGACTGAGGTGCCCATGTTGGTATGTACACTGAGCTGGCAACGATGTATGCGAAGTGAGCCAAGCACGGAGTGGTACATTTACTCATCTCCTCTTGGTATTTGGTCAGACATGAGCTTTCAAGACTTAAAGATCACTGATCTGCGAGTTGAATCGACACCGTGTTAGGTACAAGCCAAAGATGCTGATGGACTTCATCAAGATGAACGTGCAGAAGTTGAACATTCCCAAGTTGATCCATGCCTGCGAAAGGCCGGAAACCCATAGGATCCATGAACAGAACATCGATAAGGCATCTCTCGTGGTGGCCTTTTGAGGCACTATCACTGGGAACATGCCGTGTTCCTCTACACGCACTATGACGAGTACGACCAAGCAGCGAACACGATGATGGCACTGGTCTCAAAAGCCAGCATCTACAACTTAAGCCGACTATGTTGGTTTAGGGGAACACCAAGAAAGACGTCAGGGCATGCACAGACGCTTATGAGAGAAGGACAAGTACCTGTCACGTGTTTGTGGACTATATAGTATAATCATTGCCCTTTCATCATCGTTTGCATTTGTGTTCACAACCTCTGGAACGATTGAGTGGAGTACCAGATTAGTCAATGACTTGCGTTGAGGCTCACAGCCCAATTGCCTTTGCTCATGACCAGTTGGGTGCTCAAGGACTTGCCTAGGCGGATTTGTAATTATGGAGTTCCCTCCATACATGTCACTGTCACAAGCTGACATCCTAGTTTGGCTATATATACACACATAAATGAAAGTTCACTGCAAGCCGGCGGGTTCCCTTTTTGTGTGTTCACTCTTTGCTTTTTTGACCCAGTGAGTAGGACTGACCAACAATGACACTCTTTTGCGCAGTTTGTTTGTCTTTGTGGTTGGCTTGTGATGCTCAAATGTGAGGTTCCTGATGATCATGCAGAAGGCCTTTCCGGCCTTTGATCGTAGCCTTTCTGCCATTTTGAGCTGACCTATGCATAATCAAAGATATATGCACTCACATGGTGGGCTCTCCGAAATCTAGCGTGTCCATTTCCAAGAGTTCGCAGGTGTCGAATATGGAGTTGTACTACCGTGCAGTCCAATTCTACTTGGATGAGCAGCCGGGCTGCCCTGCCTTGCGAATCACACCATTTGCCAGCCCCTTTCAGGTTTCAGGCGCACCTTAGAAGACCAGCCGACTCTTCCTAGGGTGATTTCAGCCTTGTATACCAAGGCCACTGCAGTTGAACTCCCTATTGAGCACCATCACTCCAAAGGCGGGTCCAGAATGCTCCAAGATTCCAACTATTTTGTCCGGGCACCATGTTGCTGATGTGAAAGCCTCAGACGTTCATTGGATCTTAGCTTCGCAAGATTCAAGGGGCTGTGTACTTTCAAGGATGTTGAAGGATGCAAGGACGGACGACCGAGCTTGCCACTCATGACAGAACATTGTAAAGGCAGAGGACGAGTCCGTCCGGCAGTCTGGAAAGAAGGAGAGAAGAGCTAGAAAAGCCATGAGAAATGAGCCATGAGCCATGAAGAAAAGAACTAGCCTCTTTTGGAAAGCCTGTGCCTTGTCCACGGCAGGTGGATCATGCACGAGTGGTCCAGCAGGTGAGGGGCTTGCGGGGCTTGTGCTGCCAAATCCAATGATTGAAGCCAATCCAATGATTCGGAATGTTGCATTATAATCCTAGTAGCTTCTTGCTCCTAGTAGTAAGGCCAGGAGCCCCTAGTAGCGTCCTTGCTCCTAGTAGCGTCCTTGTCCCAAGCAATGGACCATTCTCCGACACATTTTTTGTTTCTGTCATGTCTCTTTGGCTCATTACACCAGGTGAAGAAAGCGGGCCAGTTGCCGCTGATCATGCCCTACATGAAGCAGGCTGGTCCTATCGGTGAGCCGCTTGAACGATGGGTTGATCCAACAGCATAAAGCTCCTGCCTTTTTTGGAGAAGGTCAAGTCTTTCCATGTTGGGCGCTTTGGCAATGGAACTCTGCAACACTTTGTAAGTTTTTGCGGCCCCTTTAGCTGGCTGAATGAATCTTCCACTCATGTCACACCCAATGCCAGGCATACTGTATGTGCTTGTTTGTTTCAGTGCAGGCCAGTGCCTACACTGCTTGAACGGATGGAAACAGCTCCTGTCTAGCAGATGGAGCAAACAAGGTCAAAGCATCTGTCGGGTCCGACATGTTGACTGAACAGCTTCAGTATCAGGTGCAACAGCACAACATTGCACCTGTGAATGAGGCGCGATGGGATGAAGCAGCGACTCAACAAGAGCAACAGCAACTCAAATTTGTGCTTGTGAGAGTGTGCGTGTGTGTGTGCGCGTGCTCATGACATTCTTGACATGAAGATCGGAAGCATGTGCTGTTGAAGTCATTTCATGTCCAGCATGCTCGACAAATCTGCCCCCCCCTTGGTGCCATGGAGTGTCTACTGTGTCTACCAACAACCACAGAGTAGGGACCAAGTTCCAATTGCAAATTCCAGTGGCCTGCGGCCTGTGACATATTCAATTCGAAGCAGGCCAGTTGGCCTGATGTCCAATCCTTGGAGGCCATCAATGACATCTACGTGGATGGCGAACAGTACGAGGAGCTGAGGCAGAGTATCGAGGAGCGCCAATGGGATTCCTAGGTCAAAGCTCGGATGTGCGCGCTGGAGGCGGCGAAGCGAGCTTTCACTCCTCCAGAGGTCCCCCCCTTTTCCGTGGTTTAGTTGTGAGTCTCTTCACTTCAGGGCCCACAATGGGCAGAGAGATATCAATTTGTGGAGGGAATGAGTTGAGAGCATGACTTGGAGCAATTAGTATTGTGACACGTGACTCACCACTCCAGGCGCACCCAAAGACCAAAGACCGTCTAGTCAGTGTGCCAAGCTGGCCATGCCTGAGTTTGTCCTGACCGCCACATTTTGGTTCTGAGCTTCCACAAAGTGGATGTTGTTGAGTTTGGAACCGGGATTTCTTAATCCAACCAATCTGAGCCCTCCGGACTGATACACCGCATGTATCGACACAGAACACAAAGGCAACAGAGGACCAGAGGCATTGAGGTGAGGTGCCTGGCTAGGAAGGGATCAGACCACAGTGACGACAACGGCCCTTTCTGAAGACGACTGGCGTCCCTGTCTTTCTCGACCGCGCACGTCGCGCCATGAGTGCGCCTTCAGCTGCACCGCCTGGCACTCCCCTGCAGAGCTCCCGAGCGGAATTCCTGCAGAGCTTCCGCTGGGCAACTCGAGGGAGAGGAGATGCTGGGAGGGCTGCACGGCCAACAGAAATTTGTTGCATCCACAGGTTGCGAAAATTTTGCTTCCTTGTTGCATCGTGTGGCATCTTGTTGCAGACCCTTTTGTCAATGCTAGGGCAAGATGATAGAGCTTGTTCTGGTAAAGGGTGGCTTGTACGATGAACGGAAAGATGGATCATCTAGATCGGTTCTCAGCCCAAATGTGATTTGTGTGCAGTTGGAGCCCTGCCTGCAACGACAGCTTTGTTTAATGCGTATGCGACTGCCAAGCACACTGATTACTGGACTGTAAAAATCAGGGGAGATTTCCCATTGAACATGGCGGCAAGGTGTGCAAAAGGACAGGGACACCAATGCGAACGGACAAAGAGGGGTCCCCCCTGAGACTAGGAGCGCCAAAAGACCTTGTGACTGCCCTGGGCACGGCTGCGTATGAGCTGGTGCTTCCACCACCATGGACGGAGGAGGGATGTGTGAGGTTGTCACATGAGTGTGAGGTTGAAAGCCGACCTGCAAGCACCTGGTTTAGTGAGGTTGAAAGCAGGTGAAGAGCCACTTGTTGGGATGTCCTTGATTTCAGAACCCCAAAGCGAATGGGGACACACGCCTTCCACTGTGAGCATTTAGCCGCTTAGAAGAGGATAGCAGGACGGGACTGAAAACAGAAGGTGGAATTCGGTGGAATGTAAGTTTTCGTGCTTATGAGATGCCGGATCCCTTTTTTCACACTTTCTTCGGCTCTGAACAGCCGTGTGTGGAGGAGAGCAGCTCTGCTGGTGTGGTGTACTTTTGGAATTCTTCTACGAACACGTCCAGCTGGCAGCATCCCTTGATGGATGTCTCTTGGCTCAGAAGACAAACCCCACTAGCCGGACTTTGCTAGCCGGTAGGAAAGCTGCATCTCATTTCCCTCCTTCCTGAACGAAGTCCCGTTTCTGTTATTGGCGGACCGAAAAATACAGTCTGCGAAGTGATTGTACTTCAAGAACCCTAAAGTTTACGCTTCTTACTCTGTTCCAACATGTCACTTGCGGTCTACAGCGGGTCAGATTGACACGTCCATTTTGCCTGGCAGGTACAGCACGGTCAGATTTCCGCACCTGTTTAAATTTGTAATACTTATAGGCTTTCAGGTATGGAAATATGACCGCAACTTAGGCCCGTCGACATGTTGCACGTAGGATTCTAAGGGGAAAGGGTTTGTCCCATTTTAGAAGTCAAGAAGCGCAACTTTCGGCACCCCAGTGTATGTCACTTGCAGCTCCCGATGACAGGTCTTCCTTTGTGTGCTGGATGCATTGATGCTGATTATCCGCGACTGCCTGTCGGTCGCAGATTTGGCATCTGCACTCACAGCTCACCTGAGACATGCCGACAATTAGGGGGTCCACGGGGAGTTGGATCAACAAGCTGGCCACAAGCTGCAGGGAGGGAACTTCAATCTCTTCGGGCTGAAGCTTGAGAGTGTGGTCCTAAGGAGACATGCTGATGAGGAGGCAGAGAAAAAGCTAGAAGGCTGCTTGCTTGCAAGCTTCAGTGGGAAGGAGTAAGTTATGCAACCAAGAAACATAACCGATGTGTTGGAAGGACGGAAGGGAGGAAGAAATCAAGAAAGGAAGGAAGGAAAGAAAGAACAAAAGACAGAAAGAGTATGTAATTCAGATTGAAGCACATTTCAAGAAGTGGCTTCTAGGAACGCATGATGCTGAGGGAGGCAGCATGATATCAGGCAGAAACGTCTTCTTTAACCCTGAGATGAGGCTGGTCGATGCACGAGCAAGGCAAGGACGCACCATGGGGTCTTAGAGATCTTAGAGTACAGGTTGGAAGGGAAAGCCAGCAGCACATTTGCTCTACACATGTCGTAAGGGGTATTGTACACAAGCTACTGCAGGTATTTATCAACAATTTTGTCAGACACAAAGGGAGCACGTTCGCATGTCTGCGTCTGAAGTGAGACAAGCCAAGCTATTTGTCATAGGGCACTGTGAGTTTCCTTCCAGGTCGGCTCCAGTACTTCTACAATGCCTCTACGGGCGAAAGCTGCTGGGAAAACCCCGCCGACTTCGCTCAACATGAGTGCCTTCGGTGGCAGGATTGGCTGGACTGGGAAAGGCCTCTCTTCCGGAAAACTCATGTCGCACGGCTCTCCTCGCATCCTTGCAGAGATTCCCCTGAACTTGACCCTGTGCTTTGGGGGAGTTTTCCAGTTGGGACTTCAGAAGTTGTTTCGGCATGGGAAAAAGGGCTGAGACCTAACTTGGGAGGCTTGGCGAGAATCATTTCGGTGAGTAACCTCCTGCGGCTTGGCGACTGTGAGCTAGACACGCGGCTCTAGAAAGCTGGAGCTACCACAGACAGCCTGCAGGATACTTTCCCCACCAGATCAGGGAGCTTTTCTTTGTCCAAGTACTTAAAAGCAGCCATTTGGCTTGCTACTTCAGCCTTAGCCTTAGCCTTTGACTGTCGGTCTCCCCCCCCCCCCCCAAAAAAACCGTTTGCTACGTCTCCAGCCCCGGTGGATGGCCGTTCTTCACGCTGCGCTGGCGAGCCAAGCGAGGCTTCATGCACAATATTGGTTGCTGGGCAGATTCGTCCAGCACTTCTATGGTGACATGGCCTTGAGCGGAGAAGGCACAGAGATTGCGGGAGCCAACTGCTAAACAACAGACGCATCCCACTGAGATCCCTTCTGCTTCTTAAGAGTCTGGTATAATCTCATGCCAGGTAGATGTACGCATATTTTGCAAAGGCATCCCCAAAGGTCTTCAAGAAGATTCTAGGTGGAGGCCATTGCTATTAGGTTGGAGGCCATTACTACTAGGAACAAGAAGCTACTAGTAACTACTAGTAGCAAGAAGCTTCCTTGGGAATCGTTTCACCTGTAGTAACAAGAAGCTTTTAGTATGTCTTTGAAGCTTCTTAGTAGCAAATAGCTACTAGTAGCTAGAAGCTACTAGGAGCAAAGGGCATCGCTACTAGGATACTACTAGTAGCTAGAAGCTACTAGGGGCTCCTGGCCTTACTACTAGGAGCAAGGACGCTACTAGGGGCTCCTGGCCATACTACTAGTAGCCAGAAGCTACCAGGGGCTCCTGGCCCTACTACTAGGAGCAAGGACGCTACTAGGGGCTCCTGCTCCTGGCCATACTACTAGTAGCTAGAAGCTAGTAGGGGCTCCTGGCCTTAGTACTAGGAGCAAGGTTGCTACTAGGGGCTCCTGGCCATACTACTAGTAGCTAGAAGCTACTAGGGGCTCCTGGCCTTTCTTCCAGGACGCTTGGCCATGCTACCAGTAGCTAGAAGCTACTAGGGGCTCCTGGCCATACTACAAGGACGCTACTAGGGGCTCCTGGCCATACTACTAGTAGCTAGCAGCTAGAAGCTACTAGGGGCTCCTGGCCTTACTACCAGGAGCAAGGACGCTACTAGGGGCTCCTGGCCTTACTACTAGGAGCAAGGACACTACTAGGGGCTCCTGGCCATACTACTAGTAGCTAGAAGCTACTAGGGGCTCCTGGCGTTACTACTAGGAGCAAGGACGCTACTAAGGGGCTCCTGGCCATATATTCCTGGCCTTACTACAAGGACGCTACTGCTCCTGGCCATACTACTAGTAGCTAGAAGCTACTAGGGGCTCCTGGCCTTACTACCAGGAGCAAGGACGCTACTGGGGGCTCTTGCCTTAGGAGCAAGGACGCTACTAGGGGCTCCTGGCCATCTAGGCCCTCCTGGCCTTACTACTAGGAGCAAGGACGCTACTAGGGGCTCCTGGCCATACTACTAGTAGCTAGAAGCTACTAGGGGCTCCTGGCGTTACTACTAGGAGCAAGGACGCTACTAAGGGGCTCCTGGCCATATACTATTCCTGGCCTTACTACAAGGACGCTACTGCTCCTGGCCATACTACTAGTAGCTAGAAGCTACTAGGGGCTCCTGGCGTTACTACCAGGAGCAAGGACGCTACTAAGGGGCTCCTGGCCATATACTATTCCTG